CCGCGCCAGCCGCCGCGCTCGCCGCGGTAACGCTCCATCTTGGCGACCACCGTCTCGGCCAGCACCGCGTAGTCCATGGCCGCGGCGCGGGGAGGAGGAGGAAGGCGGGCGGTGGGGARGAGGCCGCGGTCTATGAGGGCGCCGCTGCGCGCCGCCCCCTGGGCCGATGGCGGCGCCTCCCCCTCACCTGAGCGGCCGGACCGTCCCCTGACCGCCCGCGGCGCCATGGCGCCGGGGAAATGGTAAAATTGTGCAAAAAGTGTGAGAGTTACAGCGTAGAGGATTAAATCGGGGAATAAAATACACTTTAAAAAGGCCATGGAGAGGAGCTTCCTCCACGTCCCCCCGGGCAGCCGTCAGGGGCTGCGCTGTCCCCCCAGGGCGCTCACAGCCCCCTCGCGCCTCAGCCAGGCGGCCCCTGCTACACGGAGCTAACTCGGTGCGCTCCCAGTTCCAGCGTTCTCTCACTGTCACCTATAGCGACTCCGTGTGCGCTCCAGTGCATTAAACCAGGCACAAGGAAGCGTCACAGATAGCAGCGCCGATAGCAATGCCACGCTGTGGGAAACCCGTTATCTGCTGGGCTGAGGCTGTGCCCACAGCAGCTGGGACTGTGCCAAAGATTCTCACCTGATGTAGTTTTGGACTGATTTAATTAAGTGTCCAATACATAGCTTTTCATTTTACACTAGTTTCTTTTCTTTTTTACAGTGTAGTAGTAATTTGGGCTATTTTTTTTCCTTCTTTATAATATATCGGATGTGTTACTAAAGCAAGATCTAGTTAACAGCAAAGTAGGAGGCTACCTGGATTTTCTCTGCATACACAGTCTTTCCCACAACTACATTACAGCTTCTCCAGAGGACCTCAAACAGCAAATACAACTGAGGATGCTCCAGTTCAAAGCACAAAAATGGTAACATGCTCTCAGACATTTGAGCATACCAGTTCATTAGGCTCAGATATACCTAGATCAACACTGGTTTTTGATTTCTTTTTGGTGAGCTTCGCGCCAGGTTTCAGGTATTTTTCCTTGCTGTGAATGACCTGGATGTATTGGTCATTGCCGCTGTTCTGCGGATCGCTGCTGGATTCAATGGACATGGAATCAGATTCTGTTGGAGACTGTTCTAGTTTATGCTTTGACTTGGGTTTCACACGTTGCTCGGCATAGTGCTGGTCAACTTCAACATTTTTCAGGTGTACTTTTTTGTAAGCATACGGGGGCCTATCCAGGTCGAGCTCAAAGCCATCATCCCACGATTTGTAATGCACCTTGGCTATATCCTTGCCCATGAGAACATGGCCATCAGCATGTTCCCCAATGTAAAACCGGGGTGCTGGGCGAAGATCAGACAGTGAGCGGGGACGATGGCTTCTGCTCACCAAGTCTCTCCTAAGATCCTCTTCATCCTCCTCCTCCTCACTGGGATGGGGAGAATACATCCGTGGTGTCYGAACCACGTATCTTCTGACATTGCGCGGATACAACTCAATGATATCTCCCGCCTCATCCATTCGGAAGTGCCTTGGGAGTCGGGAGGTAGAACGRAGCAGCTTTTTGCGGGGCTCATGTTCATTAACAAGAAAATATCTGGTAGCATATGGCCTACGTCCCACAAACACAGGAGCTCCTGCCCCAAGAGCATCTGGGTTTACCTGYCGAATACCTTTTCTGAAGAGAGGCTCAGAGTGAACATCTTCTACGTGCTTTTTGAAAGTAACTGGTGTGTAGGGCTTTGTTTTACAAAGCTCACCTGCACTCCCATGCACAATGCTTGTGTACCTTTAGGAAACAAAAAGAAAATAGAGAAAGGCTTATTTATCAGTATAATTAAAACAGATAACATTTATTGGCTGTGGAAGTCAAACACTACACTGCAAGAGTAGGGACTCTTGCAGTGTAGAATCTCTGGTTTTCAGACTTGTTAGGAATAGTTAGAAAACTATATGCTAGAAATTAGAAGACCTACTTCTTTTTTCCTGGGAAATGACAAGAAATTACTGACCTCYCAAGGTACGTTCCAAATCTGTTTTCCTATGGTAAGAACTGTGTAAAAATCCTTTTAATTTATTACTAAAAATGATCACTATCAATCACTAAAACCACAAGTACTTCATACAGCTACCAGAGTAAATGGTATTTTAACATCAAGAGCCTTGCCTGTTTGCAACGTGGTCACTTCTTAGCTTCTGTGCACCTGGCACCGAGGGAGCTGGTGTTAAAGCAGTCGGAGTAGTTGGAGTCGTGCTGACAGGCCTTGCCGCATCAGCTGAGGGCACAGTTTGGGCAACAGACTGGGAAATGGTTTGTATTCTGGTGCCTTTGCTCACAGGGGATTCGAAGTTCAAGACACTGCCATTTTTTCGGGGAGTTGACGACCGAACTGAAGACTCTTGACTAATAATATCACTTTCTTGCTCTGGTCTCTTGTCATTCCCATCCATACTCTGGATTCTGGCTAGAAAACAGGATTTATTACAGGAATAACTCTAGGGCTCAAAATTTAAAAGCTGCTGTGTAAATGCAGTGGCTCAAATTCATTCTTCAGTCAAGGGACCCAATGCTGACAGACGCCAGCAGAAGAAGAAGCACTTGTGTCATACTAGGAGATACAGCGATGAAGGGAYGGACTGGCAAACTGCAGTACATAGACAGAAGGTTCTCATAATGTCGTAACATTGAGAACAGACTAAAAATTGCACAGTTAGTGTCCCAAATGAGMAAGAAACAAATGTATCTTTTCAAAAGCAAAATTTTACCTTATATTAGATACAATTACTGATATAAAGATGGCCAAAATAAGGAAATTGCCTCCAGCGACAGAGAAATTGGTCACTGCCAAAGGCTAAGTTTGATTTCTTTGGGAAAAACTCAACTAAGAGACTATCTCATTGTCTTTAGTTGGCTCTCCTGATAAGTATGTTACTACACATCAATTATTTCAACATTTATATCTCTTTTGGGTTAAGATTTTTCATAAGGGTGTCAACAACATTAAGGTCAAGCTATAATGTTACTGAATCACGGCTTGCCCCCTTTTTTGGGCTAGCACTTTTTTACTTGTTTACTTCTTTCTAGCTCTTGTTTACTTTACTTTTTAATCCCTGCCCTTCAGGGATTAAATCCCATCCCTTTGCCCTTAGGCAAAGTAGACAGCTGAGTCTGAAAACTTTTCACTGCATAGGAAGTTCAACCCATTCAGGTCGAGGAATAAGAGCYATTCCCTCTCTCATCTTCTGCCTACTATGTATTTTGTGCAAGGTCTGACATGAACTGAATCATCAGAGAATGCCTACCAACTCCTGCCTGGTAGGTGGAAAAAAGGCAGGAAAAAGTTACTAAGTCTGGATCCCAATGGAGTTTAGGTATAAACTACACACCTTGCATATAGTTTACACCTAAACACTGTCAAGGTTAAGTCACTATGACCTCAAAAATTATCTATAAGGAGGATTCCACAGGAAATACAGATTTTAAAATGTAGTAGAACTTACCTATGTGTGAGAGATCAGAATTATTTTGTGTCTAAATGCTTCATTAATAGAGGTATTTCTAAAGCTCACCAACTTACCTACTGCCATTTGAACTACCTTTTTCTTATCTTCAGTTCTTTCCTAGAATACATACATGAGAATAAAAACCAGTAYATTACTATAGATTAGAAATAAACCCTTATTTATTATCCCTGAAAGGATAATAAATACAAGACTGATTTTGTATTGTGAAACACTGAAAGTGACTTCAGAGATTCAATGAAGGATAGTACTTTCGTGAAGACTCGTCAAATGTATGCAAAAAAMCCAACAGCACTTTACTTACCGTTTGTATCTTCATTCTCAGTTGATTGTTGGTGAATTTTAATGATCTTGCAATACTTTGTAGGTAGTAAATTAGCATGCTAGAATTAAAAAGTAGGGCAGAATATAAGTTACATCAAACATTCCTGAAATTTTCTCTTGAAGGGCTGAGAGGTCAACAAAATGGTACAAAGGCTCAGTTGCTTTCTAGCATTTCCTTTGCACTGTGATTGCATCCCTTCACAAGAAGGTACACATGGAAGTTTAAAAGGAATGATAATGAAAACTTATTTAACTGCAGTTCCAATTGTAGCTTTTCTCCCCCTTTTTCTTTGCACATCTTTTCATTATGTTGGCAATCCCGCCTATTCCCAGCTTTCTTCTTTTTATTTATTTATTTTTAAAATTCTAGTAGCAAGAAAAACAAACATTGTTTTGATATAATTTCTCTCTTCTCTCTTCCATGTTTACTGAACAGAGTTACTAAAACTAGCGCTGCGTTTGCACGTTCCTATCAGTGTCATTTTGTTTACTTGGCTAGAATAACACCTTATTTACAGTGGCACAGCTGAGATCAGATCTGGCCTGACATAATGGATTACACTGGCTTTCAGACTGAGGAAAACAGTTTCATGGGCTAGACTGCGATACCACAAATATTTACATATGTGCTTAGCCATCATTTTGAGGAAACCAACAGATCTACTTGGATGTGTAAATATGTGTTTTCACATGGCTGTGACTTCAGAGGAAGATGTTACAATAGGAAGCACTGCTTGTGTCTGATTCACTTGAAATAGGCTGCTGGGGCATATTCCGCATGGGGAAAAATTATATAAAGGTACATGTAAAACAGATGATACTTCATAGAAACAAAGTGCATTTCAAATAGCTCAAAAAGTAAATATTAATTTGCAGCTGTGAACAATTATTTAGAGACAGGAGTAAGCAAGCACTTCCACTGGAAAGTCTGCAGGAAGCTATATTACATTAACACTTAAGAACAGACCTTCGTAATTGATTTATCTTGTCAGGAATCAGGACGACTGGGTAGCCTCTTTAAATGACAGACCAAAACCGTACACAGTCCTTAAGTGAACTAATGACCAAGAGGAAATGGAAAATTAATTTCTGAGGAGTTCCTGAGAAGGAAAAGGGAGCTTATAACTTTGAACCAAGAGCACTGTGAGAACTGACACAATACAAAATTTCCTTTAACATAGTATCCCAGAAAGAGAAATTACTTTTGAAAACGTGATGATCTCATTCCCATCTCATCCCCACACCACAGACTCAGTAAGGTTTTTTTTTTTTCACATATTCCTAGCAAAAACACAATAATACAGTGCTTATTCCTTAGTATTTGCATTTGACTCTTTAGAGAGAAGCCCRTGATTAATTCCATGAGGTTGATTTTTCTATGAAA